GTAATGGTATCACCCTAATTGAAAACCTTTAAAACAAGAAAAAAAAAAAAAACACACACACACACAATGAAAAAAAAAGAATAAAAGCACAAAAATAAAAAAAAACAATAAAACAAAAAAAAAGAATACTCCCCGCAAAAATAAAGAAAAACAAGGAACAAAAATAAATCTGATATTTGGTTATCTCATCCAATTTAGGAAACTGTGTTGACTCCAAAACTTTTCAGCACCCCCTTGTAATATTTGAGTCCATTTTTTAACTTACTTTTCTAAAATCATTTTTATAAAATAATGTCATCAATGTGACGGCCACAATTTTTAAATCCTTTCATGACTTTTGGTAGACTTCCAATAAAGATAATAATCTGCTATATAACAATATTCTTATATAGAGAGGAGTCTAAGAATATCGTTATATAACAGATATAAATTATACAAGGTGATGCTTAAAAGTTCTTATCTTAACCTAATTCACAAAATCTGAACAAATGAGCAAACATTTTTCCGTACCTACTCATATATATCTACAGATAGGAACTATACATACTTATTTATTAAGCTTAGTCTGGCACAAGGCCACATGTGTGGGGAGCATATGGCGAAGATCAAATTTATTACAGTAATAATTGTCTGAGACAAATTTGCAAACCTGTGAAGTAGTCAAAAATTTCACTTTTCAGTTATAAATATTTACTAAAATTAGCAAGGAGAAATGTGTTGGGGAGAGAATAGAGGTTAAGAAGATTGCGTTGACCCAGTCTTTCAAGTAAGGGTGGCCTTCAAAATCAGCATTTGAAATATTGGCTTTTTTTTACCAGACCTCAAATATAATATACTAGCCCCCACATGCAAACCAGATAAATCTTTGCATAGTAAACAAACAGAGTTTTAACACAAGTGTTACTTAAACTCCCACTCTAGAAATAACTACTGTAATTAATGACAACAGCTAGACTAGAGAGTAACAACACTAATCACCACTTTATGGGAAGGTTGTCAAAAGCGACCAATCAGAAGACATTGGTTGAAAACAGTTTCTCTTACCTTTTGGATTCCGACAAACAGAACAGATATATTTCTTGGGGAGAGTTGCTTCATCAAGATTCATACAAGTTGCATGTTGCCAACACATGCACACTTCACACTGAAAGAGAAAGTAAAAAAAAAAAAAAAAATTGCATCACTTTACAAATAGAAAAAGATTGTCTTGGTTGTATTGAAAATGAAGCAACAAAATACAACACACAGTCCAAACCAATTTCCATTGTCTGTAGATTTTGTTCTTTTGAGACTATACTAAAGATTCCCTAACAGATTTCAAACTCACTTTGTATTTTTCATTAACCAAAGATAAAGAAAGAGTTGTGTCCTCATGTTTTTTGTAGTTTCAAACTGAATCTTTTCATTCCTACAAACAAATTTTGTTTGTACAAGTCTCAAAAATGAAATACTTCCCTGTACAAACAATCTTTTCTCACTGACATAAACAGAAACACCAATATGTTTTGTTTTTTTTTTCATTTAATGAGATAATGATAAATATTTTTTTTTTTTATATATCAAAGATAATATTGGGGAAAATAATGACAAATTGGAAAGGTTTTCTTGTCATGTGTTTCGTCCTTTAGGACTTCATCAGACTAAATTTGTTTATATTGGTGTAACTACACATGCACATGAATGAAGGATGTTGGGAATTTAATTTCACTTAATTCTATATTATTAAAAAATATTTAAAAGGAAAAAAAAAAAAGAAAAAAGGCAGACATCAGTAATACACATTTATCAGTGATTGGGATACAGTTTCAAATCTGACATTTGTAGATAAAAACAAGATAACTCTTTAAAAAAAAAAAAAAAAAATCTGGGATCAATTTCATTCTGCTTTTATGTACAGGATCCCACTTCTAATATGATTAAAAAATAATAATAATAATATTCTGAAAAATGTCCTTAGAAGAAAGTCTAAAGAATGCTAATCTATAAAAATCAGTCACCAAAAATATTTAATTATTCAGCTGTTGTTTACAGTTTGTCTAGGAAACAATGACTTGCTAGTTCATCTATTTTGAACTTCTTTTTTAGAAATTCACCTTTAAATTTTGAACAGACATGATTTGCTTTTGAATGTTTTGCAAAGTGATTTTATTTTCATTGTTGACCTAACAGACAAGAACGTAAACATTCATCATGCATGACTAAATTTAAAGCCAAACCTTTACTCCATGTTATTAATGAACCCAAAAGTTCTTGATATTGCATCAAAGTAATGTAGTAATAATCTACACTTCCACTGAGCAGGTTGTATTTTGAAAATAAGAGGCTGTCAGTTACCAAACCTTTTATGTTTTTGAATATTGTTCACAGGTCAACAAAATATCACAGCACCACAATGGTGATGGTGGTAGTAAAAAGACTTTTTAAAAAGAAAAGGAATTATGGCAAGACAGTCTTTGAAGTTATCTGCCTTCTTGAGAGAAATGCCAAAACAAGTATTGAAAAGCAGAGAACAGTGTTCCACAAGAAAGTCATGTGGCAGGATATACCTGTTTTCAATTGTCTTTTGACAGCAATTAGGTACCAGAAATGAAATAAATTCTTGGAGCTTCATTGTCAAAGATCAACTAAAAAGAATAAGCATGTATCAGGTTAAAATCTAAGCCTGCCTACCGATTGTCATTTTACCAAATCCAACATGGGTTTTAAAATGATGATAATAATGACTGAAATAAGTCTTTCATCATGCTTTCAAGGCTTTTCAAATATTCAACACAAAATAATGTCGATGTGTCTGATTGTTTCCAGGTCTTACACATGTCCAAAGAAGGAACAGGCTGTGAAAAGGGACTGCAGCTTATTAAAACTTTTAATTAATTAGATGCATACAGACGATATAAGGGTCTTACAGTACTAAGTGTTATTTTCTCCTGACAAAAAAAAAAAAAAAAATAATATATATATATATATATATATATATATATATATATAAAAAAAAAATAGAAAGTAGTAAAAGATTCCATGGGAAATGGGGATTTTTGTGTCTAATACTTACCTGTATCATCAACCCTTTTTCTTCCACCTGGTTACACACACAATGTATCACTTCACTGCTTGTATCTTCCTCTTCCATCTCCAGAGTTTCATCTGCTAATGAATCAGCTAAAATGCTTCGTTCAGAGGCTGAAATTAACAGGGAAACAAAACACAAGTTTTCTTTTTTTTTCTTTTTTTAAATATTTTCTCAAACATTTTTTTTTCTCCAAAATATCAACCATTCTTTGCCATTCATACATTAAAATGTGTTCAATTTGTTCAAATAGCCTGTTGCTTACTGTTTATTTTTTTAAAGAATAAACAAACCTGCATTTTGTGTTAAAAATAACTTTTTTAACAATCATTTCACCCCAAGCAAGGCAATAAAGCCACTATTTTTTTTTAAAATGGAAGGTAATACATAAAATCAATTACTACATTAAAATCAACATTCCTAAAATTAGATTAGAGAATATTGCCAACATTTTTAAGATTACTGAGTACTTAAAATTTATATAAAAACGTGGCTCACCCCATCATTTTCTTAAATTATGTTGTAACAGATAAAGCCTCCTTAAAATGAACCTGCCAAAACTTTATCAATGCTTGTTATGTGATTGACAAGCAATGAAAAGCACATAAATCACTACTGCAATTTGTTTTAAAAATCCATTTCTGTTATCTCAACTTAATATTTGTTTCAAATCAGATTAATTATACTTTAAATCAGCTAATATCCCTCAAATAAAATTTCAGAAAAGTATATTTCATTTTTGAAGATTTTTTAATGAAGAAAATTACATTGTGATGACTAAAACAGGACACTACTCAGCTATTTTAGCAAAAAAAAAAAAAAAAATAGCAAATCAACCCTAATTTAAATAAATTAAAATAAAGCTAAAAATGAAAGCTTCAAAATTCATTTTAAATCTTAAGTATTGCTAATTAATGGTGGTACCTACGATATCTCTCCTTTATTTGGGTGATATATGTGGAAAGTATTTCTGACACATCCTGTGTGTGTGTGTGTGTGTATACATATAATAATAATATTCATAAAAAGTTTAGCTCCTTGATAATGAAGAAAAACATGAGTTGTAGACAAGTTTAAAAAGTAAATCATTTGATGCTTATGTTTGGTGATAAATTGTGGATGCATTTTGACAAAGATTTTTTTTTTTTCTGTTAATCAAATTATTACACAGATTCAACAATATTTCCTCATTATTACAAAAGGCTTTAATTATCACATAAGAGCCATCAGCCAACAAAGTCTGTAAAAGGCACTAAAATTTAAAGCAAACAAATGCATTGATGTCAAATTATACATTTCAACAATCTATATAATAAATGTGAATGTCAGTGTGTCACTGTGTCTCACATTTTCAATTATACTCCTAAAGGTCGTAGCCCAACATATCATACCATTTTGGAATCAGGCACTTGTGAGCAAATTAAAAACATTCTGGGCTGGATCAAGACCCTCAATTTTGGATTACTAAGTTTTTATTACTGCAATTGTTTTTGGAGATTTTTTTTTTTTTTTTAAGTGATTTTTCACCAAATTTTTTGTATGATAATTTTTATAACTTGGGAAAAAATTTGGGAATAATCAAAATGAATTGCGAAATTCAGTGAAAGTCACCTATGAAATAAAAATAATTGTTTGTACAGAAAGTAAGGATCTATGTAAATAAAATTGTTTTTAAATTAAGTGGCTGCAGAAAAATTATCGTTGAACTTTTTAAAGGTAAGCTTAAATATTAATGCAATATTTAAATGCAGTGATCCATTTTGAGTTCTTCTGTAGTTTATTGTTGCCTATCACATCTACTCTTCCTTACCTATTGTGATGAAAGCCCAATCAAGGGTCATCTGCAGGAGCTAGCTTAAATGCAGCCCGATAGGGTGGCTTTTAAGCTAGTAACAAATAAAAGGTAAAACTCAAAGAATAAAAATAGAAACGGTTAGGCGGCGGGGGGAGTAATTTGAAGTTTAAAAAAGGTTTGAATGGTGGCAGATGAAAAGATTAATTGATACTCACCACTGAAAGAATTGTTTTTACTCCTCTTGTTATGTCGTTTTCCGCTTGGAGGAGCCTCACTCTCTTCTACAAACAAAACAGAAAAAAAAAGATATTTATGAAAGACAACAGGATAATATGTCAAAACCTATTATTTCCATCATTATTTGCTTTTATTTTGTCAATTCTTTCTAGAAATTACCCAAAAGGCCAACAACAGCAAATTACATTCTATGATGATTAAATGTTTTATAAACGAAAGATCCATTTAACCAAATTCCTCTATCAAATCAGTATCAATATGGCACACTAGAGCTTACTGGATAGGTGGAGATGGGTAGATAGAATGAAGGTCTTGTTTTGGATACATTTGAAGTTATTAGTCAACAATCAGATGTAACAACTGAAATAGGTTTGTTGAAATACAGTAGAAAAAACATTATGTGGAATGTATATAAACTTAAGTGTATACACACACACACACAAATTAGATGCTACCCAAAAGTTTGATAAAATTCAGTCTGTTTATCTGTCAAGTTAAACAGTGTCTCTTGTATCTGGCGGGACATTTCATACAAATTTCTCAAAGTCACTGTACCAAGAAGAAAATTTCTGTTGCATTCTTAAATTACTCTTTCAAAATAATTTGATTGGAAATAATAGGACTTCTGTTCATATTTTCAAACAACTCTCCAAAGGTCACAACTCTGATAACAAAATAATGATACCAAGAACTATAGTGGCAGACTTTACAGGTCTAATCAAGCTTTTATAGAGTAAGTGAAATTTGATTTTGAATTCATATGTCCTAATATTTGACAGATAGATCTATCACTGTCACTTACCAAGAAGTTGCACTTGTATGAAGTGATGAAACCCCTCCACACACACGTGCACACTTCCAGTGGCTTACATTAACCTTTACAACTCTGCAGGCATACTATGTCCGTCAGCTATACTCTTTCTCAATATTCTCCAGGTGGACATGTTAACTGAGTGACAGTGCTTTGTTTCAAAGGGAAAGTTCCTTTCTAAAAATAACATCATTAAGCTTGCGATATGAACTGGGAATGACCATTTTGTCCTAATTGAAATAATTATTTCATCAGTGAATTTTAATAAATGTGCTTTAAAAACGTTTGTTTTTTTTTTTGTTTTTTATCATCACAATGGTGAAATAACACCCCATTACTAAGTGTGATGGCAACAGTCTTTTTTTATCCTTGTGTGAATAGCAAACCGTCAGCAAGAAAGTTAGGTCGAAACATCACCAAGACCATGTTTGCGTCATGGATAAGCTCTGCACCATCAAGTGCTACAATAGAAACATGGTAGGAGTTGACCACCTTGACAAGAAGCTAACTTTTTTTTTTTTTTTTTTTTATTATTGCTGAGCACAAGTCACTGAAGTGATAAAAGAAATTTTTTTTTTTTTTTCTTTTTTAACTTATTTGAAGGCTGCTTTTGTAATTCTTGGGTTATTTAGAGGGCATTATACTCCAGCCAAATAACAGCTGAGAAATTCCACCTGAAGTGCAGAGACTTCTTGGTGGGTATCAGCCAACTGTGAGCTCACGCCAATGAAAGAGCCCCAGTTACACTCTGGACAGGCTGGTTATGGCCAAGCACTACATCACAATAAATCCCAAGCATGTCAGCACTGGAAGGCCCTCTGCGCCCAGCTATTGGTGTGCTCCAGCATGGACAAAAAAGAGGCACCAAACTACCTGTGTGTGCTGGTGCTGTCAGATTCCCATGTGTCCCCTACCCCTGCTTTGAACGCTATTATAGTCTGGTCAAGGTGGATTGCAAGACTGGATTACACAACAAGCTTCTTAATAAAATCCAAACTTTTTTTTTTTTAGTTTTCATATTTTTTTCCCTTCAAAATTTATTATATGTACAGTAAAAAAAAAAAAAAAAACATGTTTACATTTTCTACATCCTTTCATGCAAATACCCTGAAAATTTTATAAGAATATCTCTAAAACCCTAAAAGTTACAGTTGTAGTAATATACCCACCAAACTTACCACACTCAAAAATTAATGTGTATCCAGGGGAGACAATTCTGAAAGTTAGTGTAGGGTTGTAAAGGTTAAGTACAAGGGAGAAATACTGACCTTCCATAAGATCAGCACTGCAACTGTCTTCATGGGAAAAATGTCCTGGACTGTCCAATGTTGAAGTGCTGTCAAGAGAGGGATAGGCATAAAATTGTGAGTGGCGTCGTTTTGAAGAACCTTCAGATTTGGCCTTTTGGGAATGTTCTGAATCTGTTGAACCTGATAAACAAAAATACACAATATAAATTTAAATTTAAAGAAGAAAAAAAAAATGGTGGCCAAATTTAACCTCTACCCTTTCTATTCTTTTGTAGTCTCTCCAGCTGTATCTTGGTCTTTCTACCAAATGCATGTCCCACCTTATTTGCAAAGGAATTGCTTTTCTCTTGACACCATTCAGTGGAATTTATTTTTGCTGGAAGTTTTGCTCTGTGCAGCTGGAAAAAAAATCCATTACACTTATCTGTCATCAAGAGTCATGAGTACAATTAAATAAATTAATTTTTGTCCAAGTAGCAAAAATTTGGAAAAGGTTTTTTTTGCTAAAGATAGAAATCACCATTAATATGCCAGGCCCATAAAAGTGAACCTTCTAATATTTTTCTTCTTCTTCTTTTCCTGAAGACATAAGGAACATCCATGAAACTTTCCAGTCCTTTCTCCATTCCTGCAGCTGATTTATAGAGTTAGAATACAGTTATATGAATATAGTGGCAAGAAGACTACAGGAACATCAAAGAGGTAACTGTTCATCATTCCAATTTCACAAGCAAACTAAAATCTCCTAAGCTAAAATGAAAAGCTATTGTAACTTTTTAAATGTGCAGAGCTTTAAAAAAGGTCAAATAATCTTCAAAGTTGAAAACTACAAAGAGGAATGATACTCTGTATGTGTGCATGTATTTTTAAGGCAAAGTTTCTTTAACAAAGTTTATAACAAACTTCCAATGTCCTAAATGTACAATAAAATTAGCATTATTCTGCTGCCCTATTTCTAAAGTGTATAGTTTTGTTTTTAAAAATCTCCAAATTTTACAAGACCTTTGTATATAGAAGAATCTTGTTCTGATTCTTATTTAATCAGACAATAAAATCTTTCAGGAACACAAAGCAGAAACTGAAACTGACTCAACCAAGCCAATGATGATATAACAGTTTTACTAATACTAATAGCTGTCAAATTTACTTGACTTTAAACAGAAATTATATTGCAGAAATTATATTCTACATTCTGTTGGTGTAGGTAGAGTAAATCACAAGTAACCTGGTTCAAAACATAATTTATTTTTCCTTTCAGAGCTAAAGATAGCAAAATAATAATGATTATCAGGTCACCTTGCTGGGAAACAACAGAAAGCAAGCTAATCTTACCCACCATATTCTGAATGAGCAATTTTCAGTGGGTGCTCTACATTCGTGTCCCTGTGTCATACCAGAAGCTTAAAGAATATTAATAATATACTCCTTATTAAAATTAACTGGCCATTTATAATTTTTATAAATACTTCTTGATAAACACTTATCAACAAAAGGTTATTATTAAATATGGACCAAGTTAAATAAAACATATCACGTGTTCCATGCTCCAATCAAATGAGTATCATCATCTTTATTATTTTGATCATGGCATTTAAGCTGGTATTTTTTGCATTATCCAACTGTATATTTCATCCTGTAGCCATTGAGAGTCATCAAGTGCCTCCCCAAATCTAGTTTTCACTTTACAGGAATGTATGTAAAGTAAAAGAAGCAGAAATTCACAACACATTAATCAGGGGAACTGTAAAAATTGGAATGATAGCTTTTCATATATGTAGTGGCAATTTTGTTTTTAAGTTTGAGCCTAAAACTGGGCCTAAAAATTATGTTCACATCAGTGTTAACTCTATCAAGGCAGTAGATTTAAATATTTTCAATGAATTCAATTAAAAAAAGAAACTCAAATAAATCCATACTGCTTCACATTAAAAAGTCCAAGGATAACATTAACGTAAAATTGTAAAAAATTAACCTCAAAAGATATTCTTTATATTTAAGAGGAATTCTGTTCTCAAATATTTCGTAATACTGAAAAATCTTATGTAGGCTGCAGAAAATCAAAATAACAAATAAAGCCTATTAAGAATGAAAAACAAAAGAGAATTTGGTTACCTTTACAATGGATTAAACAATATTCAAGTAAGTAACATAATGCAAAAAGAAATATTATTATTGTACATGAATGTAATAAGTGAAATATTTTTGTTACTTTTTAATAAATTTCAATTAAAAGGATTCTCCCCCCCCCTACCAATTCAGAAAAGGCAAATATTTTGTTCAAAGTTTTAACAATTAGGTAGGATTCGAAATCAACACATTTCAATCCAGGTTTCCCAATGTTTTCGACCTTCAAGTACAGGTAGTTACTAAAATAAACTATAAAACTATCAAAGTGACAATGAAAGTTGTAGACTTAAAGGAATACTTTAAACCATTTCAATAAAGAAACTGATTTGCAAAGATTAATAAGTCATCTTACATTTAAACAGCTTTTTATTCATTCTTATATTTGTAATTCAAAGAAAACTAAAACAAAAGACATTTAAGAATACAAAACTAAAATGATGTTTGATCAAAACAACTAGACTGTTATTTTAAATTTATTCCTATATAATCACATAAGGAACTAATCAAAAGATTGGAAACTTTGAACCCAAGCCCCTCCCAAGCACCTTTTGCTAATACATTTTGTAAGTTACTCTGTACATAACAAATTTTACATTAATTTCTTTTGACAGGGTCAAATATTCCCAAATATTTGGATAGCCAGATTTTTTGCAGTATGGGGAGTTAGCGTAAAAAGAAAACTGATATAAATAAAATATGTAGGGATAAAATTTTAAACTAAAAGCTCAAATTAAATCAATCTGTTCGTAGGCATATAAATTTGATTTAAAAAAAAAAAAAAAAAAAAAAAAAAGTTGCTAAGAATGAAATACTGTCAGCTAAACAACTCTACACTTTAATTGCTTTCCAAACTAACAAATCATTTTATACTAATAACTAAATATTACCATATTTCCACTAATTAAGGCTGAAATCTTAATCTGGATTTGATGGAATGTGCTTGAATTTATGACAACATGGGATCAGAATGAATTAGCTTTAACTCTTGGAAAATGAAAAAAAAGAAAAAGAAAACCCTTACCTATTTCTACATGGACAATATAATACTCATAGTAATTAACAATGTTGCTTGTGACATTTATTTAAATGGAAAAACAATAATACTTATAATGTACATTCTCTACAGACCTCATTTTCAAAAATCAACACAAAATTTAAAAAAAAAAAAAAAAAAAAAAAAAAAAAAAAAGAAAAATCAAACAATGGCAAAAGACAACAAAAGAATAAAAAAAAAAAAAGCAAAAAGAAAAATATTTAGACCCAGTGACAACATGCAAAAAGCGAAATGAGAATACATGCATGTATTAGCCCCCTGAAAATTACAGCCCCTAAAAGCCAAGAATACAGAATATGGCAGCCACAATTCTTGTTATTTGCAAACCACTTGTAATAAAGACACATTCATTTTGTTCATTCACTTTCTTTATGTAAACAATTAGGATTAGAATTTAAAAGTTTCAAGTTTCCAATATTTTTTCTCATTTTTATTTTGTTTTTTACATCAAAATCTTGTCAGTAATAAAAAGAAAGTCAAGACAGAGCTATAAAATACATCTTTTCTCTATCCAGCATTTATAAAACTCAAATTTTTTTTACCCCCATTCATTATATAGTTGAATATATTTTCATTCCTTAGTTATAAAGTAAATTGTTAATTTATCTTAATCTGAAGGAATAAAAAGAACTTTCAATTTTGCCTCTATACTGAAAACTAAACAAGGGAGCTAACTTTGATTGTTACATTGCAAAAATTATAATTTTTAAAAAAGTAAGCCAATTTCCTTATGGATCTTTAGAGAATGCATGTAGAAGTTTTTGGTGGGATGAGTAATAGACTGTATATAAAATCATTTTAGATTTAGTTCACTATTAATTATAATGTCAAATAAGCAAACATAAATAATAAATAAAAATTTATAAATATACCTTCACATCAGGTTTTCAATTGAAATATTTCTACATGTTTTTTCTTTTCATATAAGTGCAAAAACAACATAAGAAAAACAATCAGGAAGATTTTAAGATTCATCTTTGATGATTTTATAAACTCTTAACCAAAACTGAAAAATATTGCATCTCAAAATATCATTAATTTATGCTTTTATCAATATACTCTTTATTTATTTACATACAGGAATCCCTTGATTAATGCAGCTAATGTGTACATCAGTAACTAGAAAAAAAAATCAATTTTCAATTACTATGATTAAACTGAAGAATGTTTTACCACACTAATCAAGTATTATGTATGTACTAATTGAATTTTGGTATATAAGAATTTTAGCACACTAATCAAAAACAAATTAATCAAGGGATGCCTGTATTAATTTTCTTTAATTTAAAGGAGAAACCATTTGAGAAATATTTAGCTTATTTACAAATTGTTAAAAACAAAAATTCTTGCAATGAACTTTTTTTTTTTTTTTTTTTAAATCAAATCCTCTGGAAATTAGGAAAGAATATTTATATAGCAATAATTCTTTTTCTGTCCTTTTTCTTTTACATTTATACATCATAAAACAATTGTTCATTTAAATGAATATTAATCTAATCACTGACTTACAATAAAAAAAAAAAAAAAAAAAAAAAAAAAAGTGGCCAAAATCAAGAATCTGATCATTTTATGGATGTTTTGTTTTGTAAACTAAGAAAACACATGAGAGGAAAGGGAATAAATTATCGGCTAAAATACTTGTAATTTCATGCAAATTCAACTTTGTAAAATCTAACATTGACAAATCTATCACATTTATAAACACGACAGATTTGTTAAATATTAGATGTCTACATTTACTCTTTTTCATGGATATTCACATGCATTTGCAGATAAGTAGTTGGCACAAAATCTACATTAAAATCAGTTTTTAGTGATTAGTTTAAGTAAATAGGAAAAAAAAAAAGTTTCATTTGTTAGAATTCAGATAGTTATAAGTGAAAGAAAATGTTGATGAATGAACACACAACCAAAACTGCTCAATAAGAAATTGAATCACAAAAATTTAACACCCCCACCACCGACCTTCTATGGTGCAATTTTATAATTTCTTATTAAA